TTAATGAAGTCCTCGTGAAACTGCCCACAGACCCTTCAAGTGATGAGCCAGTTTTCCACATATCACACATTGACAGAGTTTACACACTTAAAACTGACAACATTAATGAGCGGTGAGTAGTGAAAATGSAGATCTGAGCTTAAACTTGTTGATTGATGCCACAGGCTGTGTTTCCAGTGAGCAGACATGGGGGCTCTGAGTCAGGAACAGAGTTGTCTCTTGTTCAGGAAATAAACTCAGTTGACTCTCATTTGAATGATGAATTTTCTCTGATTTTGTTCTGCTTTTGCAGCAGCTCTTGCAGTAAAATCCAGSCACATCTGCTGCTCCTTGATGTTACAGCTGTAGAAAGAATAGTTTAGGGCTGCAAAATCCGGCATGCCATAGGACTCTTCCCCAGTCCTGGTCAATCTTCAATGTGACCCAAAAGTCTTTAATAAAACAGCAGCTCTACTTCTGTTTACTTAGGCTGATTTGGAATGTGGCATAAGATTAAATAAAAAGTCTCTATTTCTTTAGTCCACAAACTTGATTTGTGTTGCCTCTGAAACCCAAGGAGGGCGGAATGGGGAAAGAGTGAGGGGCAGAGTCACTGATACTGAAGACTTTGCTGCCTGTGGGATGACCCTGATTGTAGGGATTGCTCTTTGCAGGACTGCCTGGGTCCAGAAAATCAAAGCAGCATCRGAACAGTACATTGAAACAGAGAAGAAGAAACGTGAAAAGGCTTATCAAGGTACCTACCAAGTTCTCTATTTCTCTCTCATCCCCCTGAATACATGGGCAGGGACATTCCTGGTGGATGCCAGTATCTGTGTAGGATCTCCCTCTTCAKATCTGTTGCCAGTTTTTACAGTTCAAATCCGTTTATTTCTGACCTCTTTGTTCCCAGCTCGTTCCCAGAAAACCTCAGGAATAGGACGCTTGATGGTGCACGTGATTGAAGCAACAGAACTAAAGGCCTGTAAGCCCAATGGTAAGTGAGGGGAACAGTCTCAGRTCACTTTTATTCCTGTAACATTTGGAAAGGGTGGCTGAGAGGAGTTGGTCAATTGGAAAACTGTGGTTCAGCTACAGATTCTGTATTAAAGAGTTATTCTTTAGGAAGACCAGAGAAGATCCCAGCTCTGTGCTGCTCTGGGATATAGGGGCTGCTTGATCCACATCTTCTGGCAGCAGCATTGATGTGTCCAAGCAGAATCCAGATGGAGGGRGGGCTTTCTGCACTGCAGAGGGGTTTCAATCCCTGTTCTGTGTTCAGGGAAGAGCAACCCGTACTGTGAGATCAGCATGGGCTCGCAGAGCTACACTACCAGGACCCTGCAGGACACCCTGAACCCCAAGTGGAACTTCAACTGCCAGTTCTTCATCAAGGATCTGTATCAGGATGTCCTGTGTATCACCATGTTTGACAGGGATCAGTTCTCACCTGATGGTAAGTGTGAATATTTAGGAAAAAAATGCTTTTTTGTGAGCTGGGGTACCCAGTTCCTCAGCAGCAGTTTCAAGARCCTGTAGGTCTGATTGCTGCCTGAGAAATGTTGGGTAAAACAATGCCTCAGTACTCAGGAGGTTKAATAGTCTTCCAGARCMAGGAATTCCAGGCAGTCAGATTTAATCTTGCTCTGGCTTTTGTATCAGACATAGAATTGTTTTCTTGTCAGACAGAGGAGACTGACAAGTTGAAAGCAGAAGTTCTACTCTCTCACGATAGGTGCCCAAAGATAAGGTCTTGGGTTATATTTGCACAGGAACAGCTTGATCAGCTTACTTGTTGCTTGGAAACGGAGCACGTTTTTGGCAGTCATTTGCTTCTCATATTCTCTAAAAGGTTAAGTGCTTTTKCAGAGCTCTGACACACACTCAATTATTGCAAATTTGCAGGGAACTGCCTTGACCTGAGATGCCATGTGTGTAACTATAGCTCAGTGTTTTCTCCTGTGACCTAACATAAGTTTGGCTGCTTGTCCCAGCTGGACAGCTGAGTCTCRGTTTTCAGTCCATGGTGAACCTTTTAATGTCCATGATGAACACACACACAAAGATGTCATGTAAGAATAGCCACAAAGAAGGTATATGATTTCTGAATAGGACTGTAAACTTATTAGTGGCAGTAATTGTTGAAGGTTGTTCTTGTGAAAGCCATAATATATAAGCATAATCAAAAGTTGGCTGAGCCAAATAGTTGATTTTTGTATTATCTTTGTAGCACCTCAGCTGACTTGTAAACAGGTTCCATCACCTAACTTCGATGTGCCAGCTCTAAACTGAAGAACACTTGAAATTGAGTTTCTGAAAGGGTATTTTCTAAGACTGTTTTAAAAGCCCGTTGCTCAAACTGTGATATCCTAATTCCATAGCATTTTTCTCTTCTAAAAAGGCCCTTTTTTGTCACCMGTGGCTCTTTACACAGGGCTGGGGTCCAATCAAACTGGAAGCATGGGAGAAGTGCTCTGGAACTGCACGTGTACCATACCTCATTGCATTAACCTGATTCACTCAAATTTTCTAAGTTTAACACCTTCACTTAATGAAATTTCTTACTCACTTGTCCAACAGATTTTTTGGGTCGCACTGAAGTTCCAGTTGCAAAAATCAGAACAGAACAAGAGAGCAAAGGCCCCACAACTAAACACTTACTGCTGCATGAAGTTCCAACRGGAGAAGTCTGGGTGCGCTTTGACCTGCAGCTCTTTGACCAGAAAACACTCCACTAAGACTTTTTTTTAATTTATGAAGGACAACTGAAGCTGACAGCCTGAACATCTTTTGTGAAAAGATTCCTTGCCCCACACTGGTTACTAAGCTAGAGTTCCTGCTGCTTCCGTATTTTCTCTTAGCTCCCARTTGCGCTTCGTTCCTTGCAGTGTTCCGAGTTGTTGTTGATCTATGCAAACACAAATGTTACTGTAAATACAGTACTATAGCTCAGTGCCTTTTTATTATGTTGGAATATCTTAGGTTTGGATGCCAATGTTTCCATTTTCAGGGCCATAAAAAGTATTACATAGAAATGTGGCACCAAGCTGTTTGTATATTTTACCACTTAGTCTGACAGACAGACTGAGGAATGGTTTAAGCTCAGCACTAGAATCATTCCATTTGAAATCTTAAAAGTGATATCCACTGGAATTTTCCCATCTCAGGATGATAGTTTTAACAGTTAAATGCTGAAGAAGCCTTAGCACTGGAGAAGTCTCCGATATATTGTATATTCTTTAAGAATCAAGTGTAGTTCTTTACTTGACTTTAGTTCTGCACTGGAATCAGTAACTGCTACTTGATTTTTTTTTCTGCTTCAGTTCAATTTATCATTCTCTGCTGAGACAATGTGGTTGTGAAGAATAACTAAAAAAAAAATTAAATACTGTGACCCACAACAATGTGGCAAAATACTCTTCAGCTTTTCGGGTTTTTTCCTAAATATAAGTTATTTGTGTACATTTCCTTGGTCTTGCAGACCTCCATGTGAATCTTGAAGCTTTGACATTGCCAACATGTATATAGAGAGTAAAATATAAGTTTATTAATTTGTCTACAGATGTTTATTGATGCATAGTGATTTTTAAAAAGTTTATTTTATTGTACAGAGGAATGTGAAATAATGAGAAAAACCTATAGGATTTGTTCAAGAAAAGTTTATTACAAGTTTAAAAGGTTTGCTCTGGGGGAACTGTCACCCCAATACAARCCTGTAAAATGGACTGGTTGAAAGCAAAAACTTTTGTCTTGGCACCAAATCAGGGATGGTTAAAAAAAAGAAGGTTTGTTTATAAATATTTGATACATTGTAACCATTTTACTGCCTCCTTAAACTGCTTTGTTGCAGAAGCACAGCATGCAGTTCTGAGCAGCCTGTGCCCTTGTTTTCCTGGGGTGCAGAAATTCCTCCTGAAGTCTGGCAGTTTCCCCCCCAGTCGCCATCTGTGCACCCTCCTGTTACTGAGTCAATCTCTGTTACTTTTAACAGTTTTCTGTGGTTCAGTATTTCTAATCCTAAATAAAACTCAAATCTTGGCAACTCTTGAGAGATTGTGTCTGTACAGTGGGAGTTTGGAGAACAGAGAAAATTCTGTTTCCAGGCTTTGAGCCCAGAGCTGCTGAGCAGCCACACCAGCAGGGAGATGGTACTGCGCTGGCACAGGAGAGGGACTGGTTKGAGGGCAGTGGGAGCAGCTGCCACTCAGCATCGATTCTCAAAAAAGCACCATATGTTTTGTACAACACCACTTCCCATCTTCTCTCCCCTACTTATTTCCTGCCTTCTCAAAATACTTGTGTATGTTAGAAGTTTGATTTACTGCTTGGACACTGTCTGTAGGAGAGAACACCAGCACTGTGTTTATTGAGCTCAGCCTACATTAAACCTCCTAAAATAGCGGGTTTGGGCCTGTACAGCATGAACTGGAACTGGCAAGAAGAGGAGCAGCATCCCAGACATYTCTTTCRCTGCTGGGTAAGAACATTTCAGAASTACATGTGTAAGACAATAAGTTTATTGCAGTTTGCCCAAAGACCTGGTCTATTCTAACTTGCTTTGGCAGCACATGTAACCTATTTYRTAAAGGGTACCTTTGATGGCTGTGCTTGCTGCTGTGGTCAGCTGGACAGGTGACATCACTGGCTCTTTGTCAGTGTGCTGGTTGATGACTTTCATCCTTTAAAGAGAAGAAAAAACTGTTATTGTGCTTTTGTAAAGATGAGCCAARGTGTCAGATTATTTCCTTCTACAGAGCACACACTGAGCTGGGAACTCTTCAACCCTCCTTAGGACACCCCCCATGCTGCCACAACGGATTTGAAATGAGGAAAACAAACCCCCCTCACCATTGCAATTATGCCTCAAAAACTAGGCTTAGTATAGATCCAGACTGTGTTCCTGGTGAAAACCATATTCAAACACTCTTGGGCTTAAATGCAATAGAAGCTAGTTAGTAAAAGTAGAATGTGCTCCTCTACAGCAGCCCCACAGCAGCACATCAGTAACATGCTCCATTAACTTCCTGCTGGTCTAAGTGGGACTCCAAAYCTCCTCACACCTTCCGGCAGTCTGCAGACGTCTTCTGGAAGTATGGATCGTACTCTGATGGGTCATAATGATCCAAAAACAGATAGTCCTGTGGGAGAAGCAGGTAAAGGGTCACATCTCAGAAGCTGTTGGTGGTACAACAGTGAGAGCAGCCAGCCTGGGTGGGACACAGCCATGCACAGCATGAACACAGTATATGAACACAGAGGTGGTAAAAAAAAGAATTCCCGAATTGTCATACAGTGCACCTGAGAAAGAAGGTGACTGAAGTGTAACAGGAAAATTCCACCATCCATTTTAATTTATCATAGGCATAAATACATAATAAATTATTTCATGAAGCAGCTATAAATAATTTCAGGCTAAAATGCTAACCTTAGCTAGGACAGTCAATGTAGATTTTATTGGAAAATGTTTTTCCCGAGCAGGAAGCCCTGAGATTTGCTCAGTTGGTCAGAGCATGGTGCTAATAACACCAAAATTGTGGGTTTGATCCCAGAATGGTCCACTCACTTAAGAGTTGGACTTGATGATCCTTCTGGGTCTCTTCCAACTCAGAACATTCTGTGWTTTCAGCAAAACAGATATTAAAAAGAAAAGAAAAAACAGGAGTGAGTGAGCCCTCATGAGCCACAGCCTTAGGCAGGTCACTGGTCTGCAAGATAGCAGCTCCAAGTCTGGGTTCATGAGCAGGCTTTGCCATCTATACATTGGAATAAARACCTGAACCCACAGCTCATGGCCCAGGCCACAGCTCCGTCTCATCAAAAACCCTGCAACAGGAGAGGCCTAATAGCAGGGAAGAGAGCAAGAGAAAATGGACAAAAAGAAKGGAGAGAAGGAAAAATACACATCCAGAATTAATCATATTAACTAATCCACACAAGTGTCTCAAGTTCTACAAAATTTATCATATGCTGCCATGGTTAATGCAAACTTATGCAAATAAGTTGTCCTATAACTATGAAGGACTTCAGCCTGCTTTTCAGACTTGCTGGTGATAGACCTGACACACAGAGCAAGGAGAGAAGGTAGAAGCTGATCACTAGTGCTGGTGCTCCCCTTCAGGCAGAAGGACATCCCAGTACACCAGCCATTGCTTCTGGAGGATACCCAGCAAATTCCTGACCTGGCACAGCTACTTGCAAGATGGACTGATTCAGACCCATGTACAGTACACCCAACACATCTTAAATCCCAGGACTTCAGCAGTAGGATTGGTTCGTCTCTTAGTCATTCCATGCAGTTTAAATGCATGGGTCTGTCACATCAGCCCTTTAAAAAGAGATCATTTGGTCTCATTAAAACAACACAACTCCCACTACATTTTCATTTCTGGATGAGTAGCTTGTTTACAGTCTCACAACTCCACTGTGCAGTGGTTTCCACTGACAACAAATGCCTCCTCTTGATGAAATACCATTATTTTCATGGCAGATTACATAACTGCTTTTATTTTTCTTGATTTTCATTCCTGAGACACAGAAAATTTAATCGTAGGATCTGATACTCAACAGTGGTGTGAAATAAAGAGCAAAACAAAGAAAACTAACAAGTGTTTTCTACAGTGACTGCAATTTTTGTGAATACTGAAAAGCATGGAACTACAAAATCCACTGAYTGGGTATATTACCTGCATGCAGACTTAAGAAAATTTGTTTTATCTCCCTGTTCCCATATTTTTTTTCTTTTATGAAGCTTGATCAGTATCATCCAAGGCCACAAAATCATTTCACTCAAGTAGTGCCAATGGAGTGCAGTACTGCTGTAGCTGAACTCCTAAGACATGAAGAGTGCAGTCCACTCCCTGCTCACTTGAAAAGTCTTTGGTTTCAGCTGACAGAGCTCAAGGTTTTCCCACTAAATGGTCCAGCTCACAGAGGAAAACACACCTCAATACGGTGTCTCATCATATTCAGACACCAGCACATATTCACTGCACCACGCAATGCTACTGTTCATAACTGATGGCGAACTTAAACAGTTGTAATACGTTACCATTACAAAAGTCCTTGGGAAAAGTAAGTTACAGGTAAGGTATATCTGTACTCTAGGTTACTCTGTGGAGAGGAAATGACAGCTAAATCCATGATCTTGTCCACAACCCTCTGTATGCAGCCCTTTCCATGACAAAAATGTACTTCTCATTGATACCTTCTTTGTACAGTAGTTTAAATATTGAGAGAATTGTTCTTGTTTCCTTTTGTGCACTTCTTTCTCTGACTGGCTGTCTATTCGGTCCTTCATTTTCTTCATAAATGGCTCTGAAACATCCTCAGTATATTTTTTGTGCAGGATCTCAGTCCTTCTCAGATCTAGGAAATCCCTGTGCCTCAAATATCTGTCCATCTCCTAAGTAAGAAATGGAAAATGAAAAATGTATGAACTATTGGCCAATGACATTAAAGATTCCACAGRTGAAGGTTTGCAGCTTGGCTGATCTCACTGCTCACTGTTCCAAAGCACCTCTTTTCCAGCCCTTCTTTCTGCTCCTTGCTCTCTCCACTTCCCTCTACTTGTTTCCAAGCTCACCCTTTCAAGAGCTCTGGCATTCAGACCTTTAACTTTGAAGCTGTGGTGCAAGACCGACAGAAAATTACTCAYTTTTTCCATTAGGTTATTGAGCTGAAATCACTGCAGAGCAGGGAGGGTGCTGATGACTGCGCAACAGGGGCAGCAGAAAGACCTACCCTGCAGCACTGGCAATCTGCTAAATCAGATCAGAGCAGCCCTCCTGCCCTTAGCTCACAGCACCCCTGTCACCAATTACCCACACCCACAGAACACATATTAGGTGSAAACAGGAAGTTCAAGTCACCTGGGATTCACATTTAGGGTTACTACTTCAGTCCTATCTGGAGGAGACTGACAAGGTCAGAAACTCCTACCTTTAAATTAGTTTTCCAAGAATACAGACAATTAACATTTTCTCATGAGCCAGTGATTGGAAACTAAAAACACTGACATGCAGGAAAGCACACAGCAAATTAGAAAAGAGGTACCACTTCTTACCCTCACAAAACAATTTTCTCTGTCCAAGATGCACTGAACAGAAGCAATGGTGTCTCGACTTTGATCAGGTGCCTAACAAAACATTAAAAAAACTCACATGAGGTAAAGCAGAACTTAGAGCAGGAGTTAGGTTTTCTTTTGAATTCAAAGTAATTACTGGTGTCGTGATTAAAGGCACATTATACCATAACCCAGCTGGCAAATTCTTGCAAGATTTGCTTTGAACACTTGGGCTAAGTAGCAAMAGAAGAGTGTTGGAAGAACTGGAATGAGAACTGGAATGTACAGGCTCAGACCATACACCTCCTTGACTGCTCCTCACCAGGACCAAACACCACTTGCTCMTKGCCACTGTTTCTCACCTGTGCCAARCATGTGGCTCATTAACTCAGCTCCTGCACTCCAGCCAAGAAGTGCAGACAATGCAGACCAAATCTATCATTTGGGGATGGAATGCATTTTGTGATAGAATGGAATATTAGCCTGCTACTTCCTGTGCTTAATAATGGTTTTTAATTCCAATAGAGTGTTGTTTTCAGTCATGTCTGCCTTGGCCTTGCCTGCTGACCAGCTCCACATGCCAAAAGGTTTATTAGACTGAGATGTGCAGGACATCATACATCAGAGCAAGCAAGGAAGAAACAAGTAAACACCAAAAACAAATGAGAAARAGGAAATCTAAATTTCTGATATGTTATAAGACCCTTTCATCCTACTATTTGAACCAACTGTATACTGTATTATGCCTGACAAATTTATTTCACATAATCACAGGTCCTTTCTAAAACCAGCAGCATAACAGCAGTACAGAGACATGGCCATCACTCCAGCTGAAAAGAACCATCAATAGTCAACAGGGAAAAAGTTTTTCTTCAGGAAAACATGTCTGAAGAATCCTTAAGAACCAAAGGAGTTGGGTCTCCTTTGACTAAAGGAATTAAGTCTCTGCTACCTGGAAAAAAGCAGGGCCAGGGGGAGCCTCATCACAGTATTACTTACAGAGCAGCTCCAAAGAGGATGGAGGCTCTCACTTCATCTGAAGCTGCAGGGAAGAGACAAGGGGTAAGAGGAACAATTTGCAATGACAGAGGTTTCATCTCAATATAAGAAAAAAAGTTTTACAGTGAGATCAATCATTCACTGACCAACCTCCCCAGGGATGTGGTGGAGTCCCCATCACTGSARGTTTTCAATGTGGATTGGACAGGGAGCTAGATACCCTCATCTGGTATCTCTTTCCCATGAAAGGCTGGACCAAATGATCTGCCAAGGTCCCTTCMAGCCTGGACTGTTCCATGAGTCCATGATTCTAATKAGTAACAAGCTTTTTTCAGYTTTTATGGGAAACTYTTCCACACACCAAACTGCAARTAAMACAATAAAGCTGCCTCAAAAGGATGCAAGAGCTCAATAAAACCCACTGAATCCATTGCCATTCCGAGAGGACTTTATTCTTCTCTATGACAAACATCTCTCAGATTCTACAGGACTTTGCAAATAACAATTTTTTATTCTTCCCTTCATAACATCTGTTTCATTCATCCACTCACACCTTCACATGACAGAAGCCCTTCTGCATTAGCCAATCTTTGGCAATATTTTTCTTCTCAAAATGTCTATTGCAATSAAAAGGATTTGCTGTGCCACTCTGCTGGTGCTGAGGAGAACCTCTGGATAAAGGTAAAGAAAGGAAAAGGTCTGCATAAAAAGACAATCTGCTTTACAAAAATCAGGTTCTGATCCAAGTTCCACAACCATGCCACTARCTGGGGTGGAATGACAAGAAGTAATGCAACTGCAACACCCATTTCTGAGTGGAGTGCCATGGAGGGACAGACGGCTCAGTGCTCAGAGATGAGTTCAGGCAGCCTGGGAGCTGAACTCCCAGGGATGGCAGCCTGGGAGCACAGACAGACCAGAAAACACTGTCCAGAATTTCAGTGGGATTAGGTGGCCAGTTCCAATACAGGAACCCAATTACACACAAATACCCTGGAATCCCAGTTACAGATACTGGTTTCCTGTGTTCTTCACAGTAGATTCTGCAGCTGAAGGAACGTTGGGGGTCACTCACCTTCCAAGGCTGTTGCCGATGGGGTTTTCTCACAGGTTTCCGATTTGCAAATCTTTGTAGCCAGAGACCCTCTGAGCTATTCACACTATTCATGCTTGGACTAGCCTAAGAAAAAAACATTAAAATAGTCAAAACCATACAAAACTGTTGCATTAACAGCAAAAACTTCATTTTCTTACAGCTCCTACCAATAAATGAAATAAATCGCTAAAGGAATTCTAACTGCTGACACCAGCAGCATTTTCCTGTCACAGTAAATAAAACAGAGAGATGAAGTATCAGGTTTACAGTCAGATGCTGCCTCTGGTGGGACTGTCTATCCTCATCTCCACAAACCATGGACAGTACATTTTGTTTCAAAGAACAGTGATTGACAAATAATTTTAAAATGTCTGTCAGCTTTGGAAACATTTCAGCATTATCAAATTGCACCTCCAAACTATTACTTCTTTCCTTCGTGCCTTTTTCAATCACATAAAAGTTCGTTTCAAGTAACTGCCACATCCCACACCAGGGATGGTTACATTTTATTGATTTTTAAAGTTAGTTCTTCCAGATGAAGCTTATGCTGAAGTGCTAACTCTGGGCTCCCACACTCTCTTGTGTGTGCATCTGGATATCTGGATTGATTTATAATAGAGACAGTGGCACTACAGAGGCACAATGCCCTTTACAAGAACCTCCATTTAAACCCCAATTTATTTCATATGCACTGGAGACACACTGCTTCCAGGAAACAGTGAATTCAAAACATAACTTAGGTAAAGAGTTGAACAAAAGAAAAGCTTATTTCTGCAGAGATTATGGCCTCAAGTCTTCAGACAGATTTTTCAGTTAAAAAAAAAATCTTATCTACAATTAATTTTTGTAATATCTAGTTAAAAGGATCTGCAAAAAGTCTCTGAATCAGATATTCACAGAACAACACTTTTTGTATAAGACAACATTTAAAGCATTTATTCTGTCCAATCCAGCACTTCAGTGATGATATCTGACTCCCAAATGACCTCTTTCGAGTGCAGATTCAAACCTCTTATCATCAGTTCAAGGTAAATTCTGCAATTTACAACTTTCTTTGTTTCATTTCATATTCCCTGCCCTTGTGCATGGACAAAAACATCTGCTGGGATATTCCTACATCCTCACAGAAGTGCTTTCCTGTCTTTTCTGACTGGAAGAGTCAGAAACCAAGGAAAGCATATGTTGGAAGGGACCTCAGTGAGTCACCTGGTCCTAATGCCACCTTGAAAAAGAGCAAACCTTACAAAGAGGGATTGCTCAGGGCCTTGCCCAGCCAAGTTCTGAAAACTCCCTTCCTCAAATTTGCAAGCTCATGTCCTTCCCTCCAACTGCTTCTATAAAAGAAAAATCCTCATTTCTGACATATCACCCAGATCAAACAAATTAGGAGAAAAAAAAAAAAACAAACAAACAAACCAAAACCAATGTAATGCACGTGGTACCAAGAAGTTTCATTCCTTCCTTCAGAATTGCAAGATTTCTATTCTTTCATCAGACACGGGGAAAACTAAAAGATTTGCATTTGGAATAGGTCATGACATCCCAATCCTCTCTGGAGTTTTCTCAGTCCCGTAAGACAGCCTCCAAACCCAGAAATACATACTGCCCTTAGCARTGTGGGCAGGACAGCAGGCACTGCCTGTACATTGATTCCCTGCCTTCTCTGTACACAGGAGACAAGAGACACAGAAGAAAACAGGGGATTACAATCAGAATACACAATTTTGGAAGCAGGTGTTCTGCCACCATCCATCTGGAAATGAACATATTTTTTGTCTACTTGTGGCCTCTGCAGAGAGCTGTGGCTGCCATGGAGGCTGGTGYTCCCTGTAAGAAGTCCCCTGCTCCAAAAACAGTCTCCTTTTTTTCCAAACAGCCCAAGTCTACTGAGTTCCAAGAAAGCWTATCAAACTCCCTAATCTCTGAGAAGTTGGTGAGGACACCCCTCTGAGGAGGGGAAGGATTCCCAGTTTTTATCCTTCATCCTGCAACTACCAGTTAAAAGAAACTATATTGTATTACCTATACAGATAAGTAACAGCACCTGCACCCTGATTTGCATTGACCCAATTCCCAATACCTTGAACAAGCTTGAGATGAGGAAAATACATATTTTAATATTTCTCAGCTTATAAAAAAGTAAAACAAACAAAATAGCCTCCAACAATTAGCCTCCTTCCTCTGTTTTCAGTAACTAGTATTAAGACTCCATCCATCCCACAAAGAAARACTGAGCACAAAGCAAAGGAAGTGTTTGACCTCAGAGAATTGGGATCCCAGGGGAGACAGAACAGAGCAAACACAGAAAATCCGTCTCTGCAGCAATCTGTCTTCATGAACCCACAAATGGTACAGACTAGCTGCAGATTTCTGTCCCCCCACACCCCACCCCCAAATCATCATTAACAAAGCTGCTATTGAATCTTAATCCTTTCTTTTTCTGCTTTTTTTTTTTTTACTCTTGCTAGGAGATGCCAACTCTCTTCTCTACAGGGCTCCCTGCTATGAGACAGCAGCTGTTTTGTAGGTCAAAATTAAAGGTTTAATCACAGGCTTAGACAGAAATACAGTAAAGGATTTCCAAAATCTGAGTGGATAAAATAAGCATTTAGTCAATCTAGTCGTTGCAGTCTGCAATTGCCAAATCCCATGAGCAGGTTGACTGTTCTGCATTAAGACATTTGTTTTACTGCTCCAGATAYCTGGAAGTGTTCAAGGCCAAGTTGGATGGGGCTTCAAGCAACCTCCCCAGCAGGGAGTTGGAATGAGATAATCTTTAAGGTTCTGTGATGATCAAACCTGAAAATAACTATGCCTAAATATTCTTGCAAGATATACATGCATCCTTCTGTGCTGTCAGCAGTGTAGCTCTGTAGCAGTAAGTTTTAAAGACAGGTTTCTCATATTTCCTCAATGAAGCAAAAGGTTACCCCAAACACCCACCTGCTAAAATTCACACTCTGTGCCTGAAAACAAGTCTTTGGAGCAGCTTTGAGCAAACACATTTTAATCACTGTGTGGCAAACGTAAGTACCCTCACAGGTGTCTCAGTCTTCTCAAAAGCCCCSTTCAGCCATGTAGGCTCACRCTGCACTGCATGGATGTCACCTTGYAAAAGCCTTTACTGATGCCTTGGTCCCATCTGGTTGCCTCAGGTGCAGGGACAGAGAACGGTAAGAGAGCCAGTCTCTAGTGCAAGCAGGGAAGCTCTGCGAACAGAACCTTTTAGACTGTGAATGCTGAGCTAACAGACAAGACGTCTATGCCCAGAGATTCCTGGCCTGGCCTCTGCACCGCGGAGACAACGATGGAGTCAAGGCCKGCGAAAGGGAAAGGCCGAATCCGCCTGGCCCCGGCCTTTCCCGCCCCCTTGCCCGGCGGTGAGGCGGGACCCAGGAATTAGGAGGCGGGCAGCAAAGCTCCACTCCCACCACTCCCGTGCCGGGATCCCTCACTTGCAAGCATAACCCAAGAAACCGCATGGATGGTGGGACACGGCTACAATTGAAGCCAAAGCCGCCCCGCACAGCCCCGCCCCGCTGAGGGGAAAGCGGTGCGCGGCCTCATAGCAATCGCTCCGCCCCTCCGTGACCTTCCGCCAGAAAAAAATAAACCCTCACCCATCACCCACAGCCTCTCAAGATGAGGAGACGCCGCCTGTGGGAACAGGGACCTGGCTACCCGTGGGGACAGGGACACAGCAGCTCGTGGGGACAATGACACGGCAGCCCTGATGTGGCCCCGAAGAAAGACGGGGCGGAGGCACGGCCGAATTCCCTCGTACCAGTTTGCGCAGCGTCCCGCGCTGCCATGGCAATTCCAACCCGCGCCCCTCCCCGCCGGAGCTTCCCACCAATCAGAGAAGGAGCGCGTCGTGAGTGAGCCAATCAGGAGCGAGGACGGCTCAGGCGGCCCGAACTGAGCCGAGCGCGGCCGAGCCGAGCGCGGCCGAGCCGAGCGCGGCCGAGCCGAGCGCGGCCGAGCCGAGCGCGGCCGAGCCGAGCGCGGCCGAGCCGAGCCGAGCGCAGCCAAGCCGAGCCGAGCCGAGCCGAGCCGAGCCGAGCCGAGCCCAGGCGATTCGAGAGGCCGCAGTCGAGCTCCCTGGTTTATCCACAGTTCATTAAATTGTATAACAAGATTGCATGCGTCACCCTGCAGTGCTCACCGTGACACTAAATTTGAAACAGAAATCAGACAGAGCTACCATCAGATGAGGGAAATGTCAGGGCTTTTGCCCCCACCAGTCTGACAGGTCTCACAATAACTGTGTGCCACGTGTGTGTGTGTGGGGGGGGGGGGGTGGTGTTTCCTCGAGCCCTCTATACTTCGATTTTTAAAAATTTATTATTATATTGATTTATCAGTGCCCCAGGAAGACAAGAGCCTTGTGCCCGACCAGCCTGCCAGTGCCCTGGAATGGGGATTCCCCTGCACAGCCCGCTGTACCCAGGGTGGGTCCATCAGCCTGTCCAGGGACTCGTGACAGCAGTGTGTCAGAGTCAAATCCCTTATTTCACTCTGGATGGGGAAACTCCCTCATGGACCCCCCTGCTCTTAGTCTCTGTGTTATTAATTTTGTCATTTGTATCCACTGCCGCTGTCTGTCGGCACTCCTGAAGGACTCAGGCTGAACAGTTAAAGGAATAACACTTYATTAACAAATACACGGATCACAGAAGACTGTCACAGACTCGGGGCAGAGTTTGTCACTGACAGTGCACTGACTGCAACAACGAGTCTGAAGTGATGCACAGACAGGCTCTGATCACCGGAGAAACTTTGAGATAATCAATCAGCGTGCACAAAGTACGGATCCTACCCACCAGGTGTGCCCACGGGGGAAAAACCAGGATCAGCCTATCCGACTGACCCCAGAAGTTATGATGGAGCCTTTCCTAAATTTACTCTCTCTTAACTCACTGATACTCTATTTCTTTCCAGTTAGGTGACGCTTGAGTGGCTCTAGTCACACATACTTTTGTTCCTGATTGGTGTGAAATTCCCTCTCACACAGGTGAGCTCAGGGAGGGTGGTCATACCCCAAAGGTGGGTACCTTTGGGTTGGGGGTGTGTGACATTATTACAGTGAGAGTATAAGGAGCAGGGTTCATCTGAGGAGAGTCATTTCACCACAGCTGCTGRTTCAGGAAYAGGACATCTYCTCCTGTATCTCACAGCCRGCAACTGCTGTGTGGTTCTTCAGCTACATGGTACCACCGAGTTCCCATTCCTGCAGGGATTACAACAGATTCTGGCCATGGGGTCTCCACCCCGCTCCACCCTGTTCCATCCCTCCTTAGCTCTGCTTTAGGCTGCAGGGGGTGTTGCATGGGGAACTACCCAGCCCCTCAACGTCCTTCCTGAATTGAGGGGCCCAGAACTGACCCTGGATTCGAGATGTGGCCTCAGCAGTGCCCAGCACAGGGGGACAATCACTGCCCTGCTCTGCTGTCACACCATGGCTGGTACAGCCCAGGTGCCATTGGCCTTTTTGGCCACCTGGGCACACCAGGCCCACGTTCAGCTGCTCTCACCAGCATCCCCAGGTCCTTTTCCACTGGGCAGCTTTTCAGCCACTCTGTCCCCAGCCTGTGGCACTGCAGGGGTTGTTGTGAYCCAAGGGCAGGACCCAGCACTTGGCTTTGTTGAACCTCACAAAACTGAGCACAGCCCATCGATCCAGCCTTTCCACATCCCTCTGCAGAGCCTTCCCACTCTCCAGAAGATCAACAATCCTGCCCAACTTGTGCTGTCTGTGAACCTACTAAGGGTGCCCTTGATGCCCTTGTCAAAACCATCAACAAAGACATTAAACAGAACTGGCCATAACACTGAGCCTTGGGGAATGAGATTTATTAAATCTAAGAAATGGGCCTTAAAATTTAGGCTAACTTTAGATTAGCTCTACCTTAGAGTTTTCTTTAGAATTACATACAGAGCTGGAGCAGATCTAAATCTGCCATTGTGTTATTTAGCCCCAGGTCTGCCTGGCTGGCTCAGAAGTAAATTCAGGAGCCATATAATTTTTGATATGAGCGCTTTTTTTTTTTTTTTTTTTTTTTTTTCTGCTACTGGGAGGAAGGCAGTGTAAAACTGGAAAATTGCAAAAAATGCCAACACTTTCCAAATCCTGTAACAATATCCACACATTATTTGTTCTTGCAAATAGTCATATTGTTCATAACTGGCCACTGCTCCTAAGCAAAGACTAATGCTTAGTTTTTCCAGGGCCAGATTTGCAGTAGGTTTGACTGGGTATTCTCTGGAGTTTACTCTTGTCCTGTATGACTTCTTTTTGAAAATAAGTAACTTTCCTTTGARTGTTACAAGAGATTTCTGAAAATCATTTGAAGTGCTTAGTGTTTATTCTTTAGAAAAACTAATACTTCATGAGTATAGGCATTAATACTTTTAATTTTCAGAAGAAATAGCACTGTTTTAATTTAAATGCAGGATAGTATGAGAGGGGCTCAAACTTGGAAAAAAAAAGCATCTCCATTACAGCTATTCTGTATGATTTTTTAAATTGTTGATTTTTTTTTTATTTCCTTGTGTTATTATAGCAAACTACTTAGCAAGAAAGGTAGCTGAATCAACAGAAAACTTGGGACTTCATCAAGAGTGCTCATTAGGAAGCAAAATATGAAGTTTGAAACATTATCCAATTTAAACAAAAAACTACTGCTTTACAGCATTCCAGCTGCTGAGTTCCCTTCTGTGTTTTCAAGACCATTTGAGGGCTTGCTGCTCATAAAAGCACTACCCTATAAATCTAAGTTTCTTAACTGAATCTAAAGCGATGTCTTCAATATCTGGCTTTAGATGCTCTGTTTTATCTTTCTAATGTTGTCTTTTAGCCTGTTWMCAGACAACRTAATTATTAATCTCACTAAGCAAAGTAAATTCTCTAACGGCATCACAGCTATGCAGGGCACCACAGCCCCAAGGCACAAAGTTAATTGATACATTTAACATATTTTCAGACTGTTCTGTACATCTTTGAATAATAAAATGCCTTTTTAGCATGTGAATTTGTATTGTCAATGACTGCAATAGAAAGTTATTTTTAACTGCAGTGGATTGCAAAGTTCTCTGGGGACAGCAGAGGCGGGACAACGTCACAACYGGGACTGAGTCAGGCTGTGTGTACTACAGACCAGGCTTCACGATCTTTTCATTTGCAGAAACACATCAATTATTAGCTCTTCAAGTCATGTGAGAACAAAAGAATTTTTAGCTATACTTGATTCTAAATTTGTTCAGTTTCAAAAAGAGTTTAAAAGTCTGAATTCAAAAATCTCATTATTAACAGGGAAAAAAATCCACAGAAAAAAGTCCTACGCGTAGACACATATATGATTTATCATTTTAAAATAGCCTGAAGTSTCAGTTTGATTCCCTGRCAGCTCAAACACTCRCTAGCTGGTGATAAGGACATAGAGRAAGGTGTGATCTGACTCTTCTGCAAAGCTCAAGAAGATGYGATCAGGCTTTTTCACCAATAATGATTCAGATTCCAAACCCCCAGGAGGAAACACCCGGGGTTTAAGGCATGGACCAGCGAGTTCTGAATCCGCAGGAGCTGAGCCGGGGCAGAATCCCCAGCATCGGGATTGATGCTGGGGATTCTGGGGCATCGGGGCTGGCACAGCTCCCGTGCCCGCAGTGCCGGTGGAGCAAATCGAGTCTGAGACACTCGGAATTCCCAAATCAAAGCATCTGCTCAGCTGGAGCACACCCACAACACACACAGTGTGGCACAGCCACGGGCATGAGGCCAAATTCSCCGTGTTCCCTGCCGCAAGGCCCAGCGGGACAGCAGAGTCTGTGCCAGCCCGTGGAATAATCCAGGGCATAGAACAGAAATAATTGCGAGCTGTGCTAATATTTCTGAGTCCTCATGTCCGCCGCTCCCAGGTACAACAACCTCGCCCCGTTCCTCCCCTTGAGCTGCAGGGGAGTAGCCGAGTGCAAGGGCAGAGCTGGGAGCGGAGGAACTGGGACTCTGCTCCCCAGGACACGCTGGGTTTGTTCCGGGGCAGCGACCGTCCGTCCTTCTTTACAGGGAAAATGTGAGCTCGGGAGCCACAGAACTCCTCGAAATTGTTGKTTTCGGCCACTGCTGGTAGATCGGAGAGTTTGAAGCGGTTGGGAGCTTTCGTTTCAGTTCCTGTGGTTTTTTTGTGCATTTCAGAGCAATGTGAATATTCAGATCCTTTTGGGTTTTCCTTAGTGGGTTTTTTTTTACTCTTTTGTGGGCGTGCTTCTAGCAACAAAGACAATCATTTATAAAAAAGCAGGTTAATGAACTCTGAGGGAAGAGGGACAAAAGCTTCTTTCACATCTTATTTTCAATTGACTAAATTTGGCCCAAATTAAGACACCGGAAACAACTGTTATGGGGCGGTATCAGGTGGGCAACCCATCGGGGGTTTTTTTGCTGATACAGGCAATTTTTTGGAACTGAATTAATTGATTTAAAATAACGAATAGACAGCCAGCCTCAGAAAGACAAGCCTTTAAACTGCATTTTAAACAAATAATTGGAAGTGCTTATTCACCATAAAACAGCCATAGAGCACCACCCCGTGGGGGATTGACATCCCTGGGGTTTCAAGCTGCTTATCATTCCACTTTTGCTTTCCTACTACAAATAATTAGGTCTGCACGTAGCTTTTCCTGTGCAGACATCAGTGATTTTTACAGAGCACAGGGTGGTCTGTCACACAGTGCTGGGTGCTTGAAGATGCTCTGGCCTCCAGCCCATCCTGTGCTGTATTCAGTGCAGAACAGCATTCAGGAAGTAACACAGTTTTTCCCTCTCCTCATCTCCATTCACCCAGCATCCAGGGAGCAGAGAGAAGACTGTTCCACATTTGATTTTGCCAGGCAGGAGGAAGCTTGACAGCTCAGCCCATCTCAACAGCTGCTGGTGCCAAAAGGATCCCAGGAACAGCATCTGAGGAGGTACCTGCAAGACTCCTGCAGCAGTGAGATCCTGGACCACAGCAAATCAGGCACACAGAAATCACTTCCTGAGGCAAGAGAAATAAATAAGAATTTTAAAAACCTTTTTTTTTTTTTGCTTTTTGTTACTGAGAGTTTTTCCAATGCACTTAAGTGTGCCTGCATTCACRGCAAGGTTTTTTCAGTTTTGTATTTTGGTTTTTTTCTCAGAGAAAATGTTTGCAGCCTATTTTGATTGCCCAGGAGGCCCAGAAAATCTATATATGAAAGAAGTGATGAAACCAGATCCAGGAGAAGGAGAAGTTCTGGTGAAGGTCTCTGCCAGTGCTCTGAATAGGGCTGATTTRCTCCAGGTATGTGTATGTCAAGCAGATTTATGCACCTAAAACCAATACCAATTTTTCAAGCCCCTCTCTGAAATCCTGACAGATCTGATGAACTAAAAGACATTGGACCTGGTGATCATTTGGATGGGAGAGTTCATAGGGCTGAAAGAAGAGATGTCTGTTGATTCAGCAGATTAATSTTTTTATCTGAGTCAGGCCATGCTGGACTGGCATGGAAAGGCAGCTGCCTTTCAGCAAAACATGTAAAACCAAAGCTCTGRTCATTCTAGATGCTTAAACCCTTCTCTGGGCATTTGAGATGAGCAGGAAGTTTTYCAATGGCACAGTTGCAATGGGAGAAAAGTATCCAAAATTGCATTCAAATTATTATGTTTGAGCTGCAAGCCATGCTCTGCAAATGGAGACCACAGTACCTCCACAGCAAGGATTGGCTTGGACAAAGGGGACTCACAAAAACTTGAATTTATTATTTTTTTAAGAATAAAACATACTTAGGAAGCAAGAGGTGTTTCAAGAGGATGGAAGATCCTCAAATTACTGAAACATTTGGACAATGCAAAACTGGGATTAAACAGGAATTTAGGCTGAAGACACATGAATGAAAAATTGCAGGTCATTACACTCACTGATGTTTGGCTTTTCCTTCCTTGCCCTCTCTTTTTTTTTTTTTTTTTTTTTTTATTTTAGAGGAGAGGGAAGTACCCTCCCCCCAAAGGAGCAAGTGATATTTTAGGCCTGGAAGCAGCTGGGAGCGTGGCTGGGCTGGGTCCTGGCTGCTCGGGCCGGTGGAAGGTCGGCGATGCAGTGATGGCTCTGCTCTCCGGGGGAGGCCAGGCACAATATGTGACAGTGCCCGAAGGCTTCCTGATGCCAATTCCCAAAGATATGACTTTTATTCAGGCTGCAGCCATTCCTGAAGCCTGGCTAACAGCATTTCAGCTGCTCCATTTTGTAGGTGAGAGGCGCATTTGCCCATTTATCCCACCAAAACAGCTCATCTTCCTTTCTGTTACAAAATCCTCTCTTTGTTGCCTCCATCTGAATGTTGTTTGCTTTCAAAGAACCTTTTCTCTGTCACTTTGTTTCTGTGGGTCAGAATCTGATACACCATACACAAATCATTGAATCTTGACCCCCTCTCCCCAGCGCCAACCTATCCTGCTGATTGCATATTTACAAGGAAGGATATGGAAAGATGATTTGGTTTCTTTTAGTCTGTATTTCTCAGCTTGAATCATTGAACGGTTTGGGTTGAAAAGGATCTTAAAGATCAMGTAGTTCCACRCCTCTGCCATGGACAGGGASACATTCCATTAAACCTAAACCCTCAAATTATTCCCATTTTCCACAAACCTGAAAACACATCTTACTTCTGAGAATTTGACTATATAATGAACTTTATCCCTAATTACCTGTGGATCTGTAACAGATCGTGTACCTTGTTTAACAGGGATATTAACTGTAGATAAAATCCACTCAGAGCTGATTCTAAATAGACAGAAGCTCACACCTGTAATTTTGAAAATACACGACCAAGTCAATAAACAGTGGCACTTGCCACGGTTTTCCTCAGGCAAGAAATATCCTTCTAAAACACTCTTCAGCAGTAGCATCTACAAGATCCAACAAGGAACAAAAGCTCCAAACAGCTTCCCAGCAGACTTGGTTTGAGCAGTGTTGCTTCCTGAGGATTAGTGGGAGTGTCTCACTTTCAGTAGCAATCAATGGGAAACAAATTAATGCAACTGATAGATGGTAGAATGATTGGTAGGACTGGTCCTTACCGTTACCAAATTTCTGATCTTTCTCCGTTGTTGAGTGCCTGATTTCTCAGTATGAACATCCTCCAAGTGTGTTTCTTACCAATGATATAAAAAGGCTGTGACTGCACTCACTWWGGCATCTTGGTCATGGRAGSCCAGAACAGCACAGGGCCAAGACARAGTCCTTCMACTGAGGCTGGTGGAATGATGTTCATGACTGCAACCTCTCCTRCTTCTGGATTTGTCTCTTTTATGAAGGCTAGGAAGATGTAAACAAAGCCCACTCAAGGRCATCTCTTTCAACCTCCTCTTTAGTATCTTCCATACTGTTCATGTTTTAATCCAGAGGTGATGCCCCAAGAGTGAYCATTTTCCTTATGCTCTCCTCCAGGTAAAGTACAGGAGGGTGAGACAGTGCTGATCCATGCTGGAGCCAGTGGGGTTGGCATGGCAGCCATCCAGCTGGTGAGACTGGCAAAGGCTATTCCCATTGTGACAGCAGGAACCCAGGAGAAACTGAAAGCAACAGCAAAYGCTGGAGCAGCTGCAGGGTTCAACTACAAGGATGAAGATTTCAGCGAAAAGGTCTTGGAGTTCACCCAAGGTAAAAACCTCTTTGTGAAAGCGTGAATGAACCTTCCAGTGTGTGCACTYAATTTCAGCTGTCACTTGGTGAGGGAGCAGACAAAAGTGACCCCGTTAACTCAGCCTGGCATCCTGTTCAGCCCAGAATGGGCCTTTCCATAGTTAAATTGTGCTGTTTTCTCCATGGGCTCTCTTTGTCTGTGTTCATTTGGGGCATAAATATTGTGCCKTGTTATTGTTGCCTCCCCAAGGAACYRYRGGRCCAAATCCTCACAGTTGGTGTTTGAATTATCACTGAATCATAGAATGGCCTGAGCTTAAAGGTCATCTCATTCAAACCCCCTGCCATGGGCAGGAACACTTTTCCTCTAGCCCAGGTTGCTCAGAGTCCCATCCAACCTGGCCCTGAGCATTTTCAGGGATGGGGAGTCCACAGCTTCTCTGGGCAATCTGTGCCAGGGCCTCACCACACTWAATTCTTGAATGGTTAGAAAAATGTAGCTTTTGTAAGCATTTGGGGTAGTTTATGCCTGAGTCTGCTTACGGGTTCCTTTTTTGGCCTGATTCAGAAATTCCTTACAAATCACTGTTCCAATTCCTAATTTCAGTAGAAAGATTTAAATAAGAATTGTAGGGTTGATTCTGTCCCTATAAATAACAAGGTTTTAATTTTGCCTGAAATTACCCTACTCTTCATGCAGCTGGACTTCACTGCTGAAATCTCTTCTGTTTCTTCTTGAGGTTCTGGAGTAAATATTATTTTAGACTGTGTTGGTGGCTCATACTGGGAGAAGAATCTCAATTGTCTGAGTACTGATGGCCGGTGGATTATTTACGGACTGCTGAGTGGAGGTGAAGTCCATGGGGATTTGCTGGCAARGCTGCTTTCCAAAAGAGCCAGCATCCACACGAGCCTGTTACGGTCCCGAGACAAGGAGGCAAGTAGTGACTATCAGCAGTCTATGCAGTTTGATGTTAAAAYTTATGATAGTTTTGAGASCTTTCTTTTAAAACTGGTRTTAAACACACTCTTGCMAAAARAAAARMKCCMC